TAAAAAAGAAAAAGGAACGGAAACAGAAGGAAGAAAAGCAGTATGGCACTTAGATGACATTTTCCAGGCAGCAAAGAGTGCGACGTGCCTCAGTACGGCACGTGGTGGCTGTAAGTATCTCAGTCCGGTCGCTGCAGTTTTCGCGGTCTGTGCAGAATAATCCTGCCTATCACCACGCCTGCAACGCCAAGCCCTGCGATTCTCTAAAAATCCGAAGGTGAATTCCAATTCACTCAGATGTCTGAATTCGTTTCGTGGCATAAGTGAAGTGATGAATAACCCATATGAATCTATCAGCATTGTTGTTTATTTTTATACAAAAATGCAATCAATAGAATTTCTAAACTAAATGGTGTTAATTCGGACACATCAGTGAATTCGATTTTGGGTTCGGATTTTTACCGAATTGCTCCCCAGGTAAAGCTTACATAACTGTAAGTTAATATATATATATATCAGCATAGAGTATCAGATCAGTTTGTGATACTGTAAAAAAAGAAGCATAATACAATTAGAATAAAAAAGGGCTGATATACGTATATCTTACGCAATCATAGTGTACTTTGGTTAGGTTAGAATTTATAAAATACTTAGAATTTATAAGGAAAATAATTTCAAAGATATCTCAAAAAAAACTCAAACTGTATTTTTTTATTTGATAAATAAATAGTTTGCGAGTAATCCATAATTAATAATACATTTTGACCATCGATTTCGCCTAATAGTCAAATAGACAGGCAATATTCTTATTAACTGGATTGTAAATCCATGCTAAGGTCCTTTTAGCTTGGATTTTTCCAGATCATCTGGACTGTAATAAAATTATCTAAAAATAACTGAATAATTCCATTAAGACCATTAGAAATTTGGCAATCCACCAAATCCGATATCCCCGTCGAATGGTATGATTGATTTTGCTACTGGAATTGCACTAGAATAGAAACTTGAAACTATTATGAACTCTAACGTACTCTATTGTAGACTTAGAAAAGTGATGTTTAATACTTTTTTATGTGAAAATGGCAAGGCCGTTGAGGTTATGTGGGGTAACCTCAACGGCCTTGCCATTTGCACTTGCACTTAATAGAATGCTGCATTAGCACAAACAGTCAATCGTTTTATAGTTCCGTGCCCAAAATTGTAGAATGACACCCTATTACTAAAACTCCTCTGTGCGTTCGTCTGTCAATAGGTTATATATCATGAACCGTGATAATTCTGAGATGATGTATTGTCTGTTGTCGTTATAACAACAAATATTAAAAACAAAATGAAATAAATATTTAAGAGGGACGTTTATTATATTTTTTTAGTTCATTTCCGGTACTCTGGGACAAAAAAAATGTGTACTATTTTCTCAAAAAATATAAATCTAGTTTTTGTCATATAAAAACATATTCAAAACTAGAAATTTTGCTCTTATGTCCACCTTTTTAAAAAACCATACCATATGGAACCATATGCGTCATCTATCTGTAATAGAGCTGGTTTGCGACTCGCATTTGGCCAGATTTTTAGAAAAGTCAACTGTTAATCGAAGTGTAATAATGAGAATTGTAAGAATTATTCACGTTTCTATAAGTAACTGTCTGTCCCTTTATTTTTTTACGTCGAGTTATGCATTAGGCCTTGCCGCCTGGCAAACGACAGCGGGTGTGTGGGATATTCCTACATGAACCCACCCCGTCTAGCCGCGCGGTGGACTACCGAAGTCCTACCCGTAAAAACCCCTACGTACACCTTCCCGTGGGGATGAGATCCGGGATGCTATAATCGAGTCTCCAGGACGCCCTTCCGGGACCTTTAATGCCCCTCACGGAAGGAGTAGTAACTGTCTGTCTTAGCTAGTTTGCTACTTTTACGCGACTGCCCAAAAAAAGTTGTTGTTAGGGTTAATGTATGTATGAATATAGATATAGAATTTAGTTAAACAGAACCAAATGTAATACAACTTATTTCTCTTATTTTTAGGTCTAGTGTTATTAATTTTATTTTATTATTTTGGTTTAACTACAGGTTCAGATAAATGCCGATTAGGCCAATTAGATATATAAATAAACATCTATGGTTTTTTACAGTTCTGTCGGAACGCTTTATATGATACGACTCGCACTTGACCAGTTTGTTTCTAGGAACACATAAAGATAGTCTTTTCAGGAATAAATTACTAAAAACGTACATCCGTTTTTCGATAGACGCCTCACTTCCCCTTTTTACTAAGAAATTAAACTAATGAATATCAATAATAGATTTTAAGAAGTCGTAACAAGAACTAGTTTCAACTGCAGTTTCTTTGAACTATCCCATTTGGATGCATTTCCTAAATCGACTCTTTTGATGTCGCAGGATGTTCTTTAAATGGAAATCTTTATGATTCAAGATTTAATCTATACTAATTATAAAGAGGAAAGATCCAAAACTACTGGACCGATTTAAAAAATCCTTTCACCTACAGGAGGCTACATCATACGTGGACAACATACACCCGGTTTCTGAATAGGGATGACGACTAATTTTTGTTTGTTTGTCCATCAAGTAGAGTGTTGAAAAATATTAAACACGTTTTTTTTTTTTTGTAATCATAAAATTACGTCGATACATGGAGTTGAAATTTCGCATGACGTCACGTTATGGTACGTTTTCTACAAAACTGTGACATAGCGAGCCCCCACTCCTCAACTTTAATGCCTGTTATCTAAGCTATTTCTCGTTAAATTGAAGTAAAAAAAATCCGTATCTATTATTTTTCTATTATCTGACTGACGGACTAAATAGAAATGCATTTTTTTTACCCAGTCGTCATCCCTTAAACTACTAGGACTTAAAACTTTAAAGTTATTGAGTATAATTAGTTGAGAATTTGAATTTGTCTTAATTTAGGCGGATGAAGACACGGGCTTAACTTAATACTTATAAGATTAAAATGCCACCTAGTGGTGCCAATTCTGTTAAACATCTTATGACCCAACTAAAAAAAAACAAATTTTGATTGGCTTTTTTAACTTTATTCTGTAGTACCATTAACTGAAACTGAAAATAGTCCTATTTATCTTAAAGCGAACTCACAAGTTTAAACAAGCAACAATTATATAAAAAAAACATATGTAACCTAATAAGAAATCATAGGAAACCAAAAAATATGAGATTAGGTTTACTTCGACGATTCAAAGCAAAATTGTCGTTTTACTAATGAAAGAATGCTTCCATTCATTTTGTTATCAACTAATTAACATGTTTTGATGAAGTTTAAGGTATTCTCAAAGTAAAAATATAAACAAACAAAATAAGAATTGCAATCCGATGTATACCAGTAGGACTTTTTTTAGCGCAAATCTGTAGAAGCCAATATAAACTAACAATTATGTTTAGAATGTCAACAAAATATTGCCCAAATTCGCCTTATAAAGTTACTAAAATTTATAACCTCCTTTTATACTTAAAAATTTGTATATTGATCGAAGTTTCAATAATAACCTTTCGTGACCCGGGCAACTGAACTATCCAATTAAGCTATTCATTTTCGAAATATGTAGGTAGTAGTTTTCTTAATTTAAATTACAGATTGTCTGTTTGTTCCAATCTATTTGATATTAGAGATTTTACTGTGACGCCCTATTACCTTAATTATGTATTTAAGGAGAAATCACTTTCTCATAACTCTCAATTGCATGAATTTATAATGTACCTTATTAGAAAAACACGCTAATAATTTTAATGTCTAGCTTTAGCCAACTTTCTTTGAATATAACCTACACTTCTAACGGTAGACAACAATTATATGTTTTCATGCTACATATTTTAAATATACGCTTATTTATATGTAAGACGTTTTGCAAAACTATGACATCGCTCAAGGGTCACTCAGATAGTAACAAGCTGTAATACAGCAGAAGGTTACATTTTGACAGATCAATCAGGAAAGCGGGATTTGTTCAGCGGCAGATCAACATTCAACAGACCGATCCGTTTGGTCTGTTGACAGTTGATCTGACAGTCTGATAGATAATTCGAGACTTCATTTTGACAGATCGATCAGAGTTTCAGTTATACGACAGAACCTCTGCACGCGTAGCATGACAAATTCGAGAAACGCTATGTCTACACTCAAATGTCACTTTCTCGGGTCAAGAGTGAGATATCGTATGGACCCGAGAAAAGTGACATTTGGGTATAGACAAAACGTTCTCGAGTTCGTCATGCTACGCGTGCAGGTCATTGGGTGTTAACGTCTTCATGTAATTATAGTTTAGGTCATCTTCCTTGATAAATACAAAAAACATGTTTTCAACTAAATACAAAGACAGCTTTTCAGCTTTGCGAGAAACTGTGTAGGTGGTAGTAAAGATCACCAGGACTCTCACTCAGAGACTATTTATATTTTGCTTAAACATCAAATATTTAGTAACGAAATGTGATGTGATGGAATTCTCTTACCGTTGCTTACTAAAAGCACCAATCAAAATATTGTTAAGACTACTAATCAAGTTCTAGATTTGTCTCTGTTTGAGATTCGAGAGTTATTAAGAAAGTTGTGAATAATTGATTAAATAAAACACATTAGTCTTACTAATCGATCACCTAAATAACTTTCTATCGCATTGATTAAATATTAATAAGCTATCAACTTTATTTATATATAAATAACTAAAAATACTTTCTCTTTAAAACGATTAACATAAAATTATGATTGCGGAAGTCGCTAAAATTAGTATTTACTTAATATGTATCACAGGAATTCTTTATCGAAATAATGGCTTATGCGTTTTGTATTTTATATTGCAATAAAAATGTTTGTTTAATTATCATTGAAATTGCGAAATCTTGTTGACAAAAGGAAGTAGTGAGAAAAGATTGGCTCTTTCCCAAATTTCACTTCCATGAAAGTTAGGTTGAATCTTAACACAAATACTTTTTCGTAAAACAATACTGTCATCCAAAAACAACCACAACGCCGCTGTCATTAAAAGTAAATACAAAAGTAATAAAAAGATTTCTCTCACTTTTATTATTACACTATTGGATTAAATCCTCTTTGGAATCAACGTTGGTACAATAAACACTTAAAAAACCACTAGCACGTTGCTCTGTTTACTCGCGTAGGCGGGAAAATCTGACAACTAGAGCGCCATTTTCCGGATGACCTAATAACCGTGCAATACTTTCACCACTTTTTTATTGTAAAAAAATCGCGATGTACGATTAATAACCGGTATTACTGTTATTTATTAACGTTGTTGATTTTAAAGTCGCGTCCGCGCGTCCGTTAGTCGTGTCAGAGACTGGTTCGTGTTACAGAGTTTAAATAGAAACAAACTGATGCTTTTCTTATTTGAGGGCAGCTAACTGAGACTTGCTTTTGAGTCATGGGGATGAATAACTCCAACCGAAGGACAATTTATAAGACAAATAAAAGTGCGGTTTATGATAAATTAAATCTCTAATGATACACGATATGATCTGATTGCCATTATAGAACTGCTTTAATTTCTAAATAATAAACAGTTATTATCAATCGTATACAGTTTCGTTTAATATATGTACTTAGTCCTTTTTTGAAGTCTCCTGCAGTACACGAGATATATCTGACACTTTTTTGATTAAAAAATGTAATATTATTGTAACGTGTAGGTACTTGAATCGGTTAACGTTTTAGGCAAGTCAATGATATAAAATAACACGGAGCCCAGTATCATCCTGTAGAACTCCTTTTGTTTCTCTATATTATGGAAAAGTTACATTTAATTATTTACAAGTGTAACCAATCGAGAGTACGAAATGGCACAATTTCAATGTCTATCGGTCGTGTTTACGAGAGTAAGGGAGCTGATCCTAGTAAAACCTTAGACTTTGTTCGGATTATGAATCATATTTAATATTTCCTTAATATTGTTTACAATTAATCTACTTCTTTATTGAGATTGTGTATCGATTCTTGAAAAAAAACTAATGATAAAATATATTTATAATGATGATTGATTACATAAAGATAAATTTAAATTATTTTACTGCATAAAACTATAATTGGACAGCATTTATACTGTATATAATTAACTAGGTATTTAAAACCTTGTCCCGCACTGAATAACTACCTATTCACAACTTTCTGTGATATATGTCATTAAATTCTTATTATAATTTTTGCATCATGAAATATCAAAAAATGCAAACTTCCATACATTCCAACTTGCAAATTTGTTATATTAGTTAGTACTTATCTACCATAACCATGACCTGATACCAATTTATCTAAAAGATAACACAAGGCTTACATTGATAACTTTACAATACATTTATTGGACAAAGTTATTTAGTTTATTGTAAACGGCTAGTGACGACAAACAAAAAATATGGGTGATCTTAATATAGTAGGAGGTGTACAGGTATTTCATTAAAATTCAATAAATAAGAATCATCAATATCAATATGAAACTCATAAGTACAAAAATATAAAACCTTTAAATAAGCTTAACGAAGGTAAAAATAATTCAGGAAACTTCTACATTAAATCCCGCCACTTTTCTTTTATTGTTTACTGAATTATTTTCTACTTGTGTTAGCTCCTCAAAGTTCAATTTTATGTATTTTTTATTTGCACCTTATTAAAATTGATCATAGAGATTCAATGAAATATAAGCTTAAAAGACAAAACTTTTGAAGTAAATGTTATTTAATTGAAATATGTTATAAAATAAGGTATTCTCGAACTCGTCCTCGAGGACGAGTTCGTGTAAACCTTATTTTTTGAAATCTCTTAAATTCGTAGTACAATAATACACATTAAGTAAGTAATCTTAATTTTTGTGATATAACGATGATTTCTTTTTATAGATATCGGATGGAAGTGGCGGAGTTAACATTGCTGATGGCAGTGGTGGGGTAAATTTTGATCATGGCGGGGGCGGAGTCAACATCTCTGATGGCAGCGGTGGGGTTAATTTTGACCATGGAGGTGGCGGAGTCAACATCTCTGATGGCAGCGGTGGGGTTAATTTTGACCATGGAGGTGGCGGAGTCAACATCTCTGATGGCAGCGGTGGGGTTAATTTTGACCATGGAGGTGGCGGAGTCAACATCTCTGATGGCAGCGGTGGGGTTAATTTTGACCATGGAGGTGGCGGAGTCAACATCTCTGATGGCAGCGGTGGGGTTAATTTTGATGATGGCGGTGGCGGAGTTAACTTTGCGTGAGAAGCAAATTCTTCAAATCGACATTGAATGTGATGTTAAAAAATGTGCACATATATCGTGTGTGTTGATGAGACTGAAATTACATTTATAAATTAAATTTTTAGTTAATTTTAGCACTTCTGTTTTATTCCAACAGGAAAAGGTAACGAGAATTAACTTTTACTTTATACTGCAACGGAGAGACGACGGTCCTCTCATCTAGTGACAACTATACGCCAGCTAGAAGCGCGCGAATGCGCAGCTAATGTATCAGCTACACGCGACTAGATGGCATTGTAGTATTTTGAATCGTGCCAACGATAAGTCAGGAATCGACTTGTATATTTGACGACAGGACGGCTACTAGGCAAAGGGAAAGGACAGATAACTTTTTAAGCATTTAGGGAATACCACAAATACACCGGTGCGGCAGAAGTCAACCTAGATAGAATATACTAAATATACTAGCAAGGTAAGTTTTACGTCTTGCAAAGTAACGTGTAGTTAGGTACTTGAATCGGTTAACACATTGGGCAAGTCGATGCTATACATATATAACACGGGGCCCAGTATAGTGTCCTGTAGTATTCCTAATCCGTGTTTCTGTATTATGGAAAAGTTACATTTAATTATTTACAAGTGTAACCAATCGAGAATACGAAATGGCACCGGTGGGGCCGAAGTCAACCTAGATGGAATATACTAGCAAGGTAAGCTTTACGTCCTGAAAAGTAGTACTGCGAAAAACGTATCTTGTTATTGATTGTATCATTAGCATCGGAATCAGTGCACAGATCCGAATCAATTAATCTCAGTTCATTCGTTCATTTCGAGATTCGGATCAGTGCGTCATTTTGCTGAACCGACTCACTGAGTCGATTCAGTAAAGATTTACACACGTCTACTGCAGAGCGAATGCCGAACTCTAGTCTTGATTTTAGCCATAGAACACACATCGTAGCAATGTTATGGCAATATGTCATTTTATTTTACTACTTTGACATGTACTTTAGTGACGAACGAGCGATAAGAAATGATGATTTTTGGATTTCAAACCAACTTAGTAATTTATCCCTTTATCCACCAAAAGACATGTCAAAGTAGTAAGAGTTAATCGCTCGCGCCCCTGGTAGTCAGTTTTCTGGATACGACAAGAGCGATAACTACTAGTGAGCTTCGAGGCGATTTGGAAATTTACATGATATTCTAGTGACCGGAATAGTGAAGTTGTATCTTGCTTCAGGAATTCATAGTGTCTTTTCTGGGACGAATGAACTGTCTGATAGTAATTTGTAAACTCATTTTATTAATAAGAAACTGTTATGCTAATTTCGCTTAGCTACATTAAAATACTTCTTTCTTCAGCTAATTTATGAAATTCGTAGCACAAAAGTGACTCGTAGCACGGAAGAGACTTGTAGCAGCCCTTTTTAACACGGAAGCCCAATAAGAAAATTGGATCTCTGCTTTATTAGCTAATTAGATCCAAAAATGTGGTGCCACTTTTATGGGCCCCTTTTATAAATGCAGATTTTGACATGTTTCGTATCAAATGGCATCTTATCAGAAAGGCTAGTTGACATTATAGAATGAGTATTTATTTTCGTAGGTAAGAAATTCTTCGAAATAGATTGCGATACCGTCAAAGGATTTTTTAATGTTTTTGTACACAGTCTTAAAGCAAAGACCACGTGACTCGAAGAATATTGGTAGTATATATATGTATTTATAAAATACAGACAGTTCATAATAAAATCCTCAGCTCTGTAAAATAAGACAGTAAGTATAAAAATAATGCTATTGAAAACAAAAGATTTATTTTAGGCACTCATCATACCTAATTGATAGTGGCAAATATTTTCTATCTGTCATAGAAATATAGCAAATACGAATCTCAATCAACTCTTATGAGTCAAAATTAACAACTTAAATGTTTTTTTTTTATGTTTATCTACTAACATTGGACGCAATACTCGTAATTACTGTTTATATCTGTAGATAAACATAGATTACTAATGGTCTTCCTTTGTTGAGTTAAATTTTACACATATACATTTTTTATCAGTTCTAACTTTACGTGAAATTCTGCGGACGAACAATATGTCGGAAACTATGATTATTATCGATGGAGATAGCAGTGTCCAAGTAAGTAAATAATTGAATACCTAATATTATCCCTTAGATTGATCTTAACTTTTACACTGCCCTATACGCCCAGACTATATTCATAGACTATGCCCACTCTATGTCTTGGGATCGGAGAGCCCTGGTTTAGGACTTAAGATTGCATTTCCCCTATGCTAAAAAAACAACGAGCAAGAAACTCACCAGCTCTAATAGAAGTAATGACATTTATAAAAATTACGCTATTACCAAATTAATATTAACAATATAAATTAATTTAATTACTAGCTTTCGGTCAGCTGCTTCGCCCGCACGATTCTATATTATACCTACATAAAAAATCTTCCTTTTGAATCACCATATTTATTAAAAGAACCGTATCAAAATCCCTATTTTGTTTCAATCAATTTAATTGTACAGTTATATCCATTTAATTTATTCATATTTAATTAAGTTTCATTTAGTTAGTTTCATTTCACATAACCACAATTATAAATCAATATTCACAGATAGTTGACAGTGGGGGTGGTGTCAACGTAGTTGACAACGGTGGTGGTGTCCATATACTTGACGACAACGGTTCCAGTATTCATATAGTTAACAACGGTGACGGCAGTATTAATATTGTGGAAAATCTGTGTGAACATAGTCGAGATGGTGGTGGTATCAACTTCATCGACAGCGATGGCGTTGTCAACTTTTAATATATCGACGCTGGAAAGCAAACACGTAGTAACCTGCAAAACCAAATTGGATAGTTAGAATGGAAAATCTTTATATTT